CTACCAACCCACGTCAGCACCGTTCCCCCTCCTGTTCTTGCACTCCCTCCAAGCACTGTGTGGCCACGATGGCCGCGCATCCTTCCCCTCTCCAAGCCCATCACCCCCAGCCTTCCTTCCCAGCTCTGCTCATCTTCATGCCCTCCTCTGGACCCATCCCAGCAGCTCCGTGTCCCCCTTGCGCCGGGGATCCCCACGCATGGCAGCTTTGGTGTCTGAGCCCTTTTTCTGCCCCGCAGTCAATGTGGTGGAAGCCCTGCAGGAGTTCTGGCAGATGAAGCAGTCGCGTGGGGCCGACCTGAAGAACGGAGCCCTGGTGGTGTATGAGATGGTGCCAGCCAGCAGCCCGCCCTACGTCTGCTACGTCACGCTGCCCGGGGGCAGCTGCTTCGGCAGCTTCCAGGTACGGCTGCAACCCTGAGCGCTGCTGGGATGAGCAGCGCTTATGGGCTGGAGCTGGGATGGGTTGGTGGGTTAAGGTTCCCTTATAGGGCCCTGGGTTGCACCCCGAATCTCTTTTTGAAATGGCAAAACTGGAAAACAGAGCTCCGTGTTCGATCGGTGCTCTTGGCCTTGCTATGAGAAGGAAAGCACCCAAATGTCTGCCCCGAAAGGTGAAGGGCTGAGAACCGCTGTGGGTCCTGGCAGTGCTGGGTCTCAGAATCACAGAATGGATCACAGAATGGTTTGGGTTGGAGGGGACCTCAAGGGTCACGAAGCTGCAGCCGCTTTCTGCACTCAGGGCCACCAACGTCCACATTCACAGCAGCCAGGCTGCCCAGAAATTCCTTTTGAGCCATAGGAAGTCCCTGAAGGAGGATCTGTGAGGACCCACTGGTGTCAGCAGCATCGGAGTGCAGGGCTGGAGGTGCCTGCAGGACCCCAGAAAGGATGCAGTGCTCCCAAACCCATCTCTGCTGCTGCGTTCTGTGCTCCGCGTGGCCCAGCAGCACATCACAGAACCACAGCATGGTTTGGGTTGGAGGGGACCTCAAGGATGACGAAGCTCCAACCCCCACCACATGCAGGGCCACCAACCTCCACATTTCACAGCAGCCCAGGCTGCCCAGGGCCCCATCCAACCTGGCCCTGAACACCTCCAGGGATGGATGCCCATCCACAGCCTCTCTGGGCAGCCTGTTCCCATTGCAGGCGCTGTGAGGTGCAGCTCTGGGCTGGAGGAACGGGTCCAAAAGAATCAGTTCTGGCCGCAGAGCCCGGCCCAGGAGCACACGGTGCCTGTGGGCTGCAGTCTGCTTTGGTTGTGCTGGGATTTGGTTGTGCTGAGGCTCCGGTGGGCGGCGCATCTCGGCGCTGTGCTCGGAGCTCCACTGCCTGCCACGATGGATTCGGGGTGTCTGAGAGCCTTCCGGAGTTACAGCTCTGCTGCCTGGGAGCTGGGGTGTGGGGCTGGGGGAGGAGGCTGCGGCCCTGCTGTCCTGCTGGTGTGGGGCTGCAGCTCTGTGGGATGGAAGGATGATGGAAGGGCTCTGTGGGGTGGAAAGACGGAAGGTGCTGACCTCGTGGTGCTTGGGGCTGCAGATCTGTGGGATGGATGGATGGATGGGTGGATGGATGGATGGATGGATGGGTGGATGGGTGGGTGGATGGATGGATGGATGGGTGGATGGATGGGTGGATGGGTGGAAGGATGGATGGAAGGGCTCTGTGGGATGGAAGG